TCTGGATTATGATAGAGGGCCACGAGACTTTGACCTGAGTGCAAAAATGGAGGCTCTAGACCCTTCCAGAGCTGAGATATCGAAATTCAAAATTTCGACCCGAAAAAAAAAACGACAGTGTTACCCCTTTCGTTTTTTTCGTTTTCGGGCGAAAAATTAAGTTTCTCCAATCTTCTCAAAACTCTGGATTCTGATAGAGGGCCACGAGACTTTGACCTGAGTGCAAAAATGGAGGCTCTAGACCCTTCCAGAGCTGAGATATCGAAATTCAAAATTTCGACCCAAAAAAAAAACGACAGTGTTACCCTTTTTTTTTTTTTTTCGTTTTTGGGCGAAAAATTAAGTTTCTCCAATCTTCTCAAAACTCTGGATTATGATAGAGGGCTGTGAGACTTTGACCTGAGTGCAAAAATGGAGGCTCTAGACCCTTCCAGAGCTGAGATATCGAAATTCAAAATTTCGACCCGAAAAAAAAACGACAGTGTTACCCCTTTCGTTTTTTTTCGTTTTTGGGCGAAAAATTAAGTTTCTCCAATCTTCTCAAAACTCTGGATTATGATAGAGGGCCACGAGACTTTGACCTGAGTGCAAAAATGGAGGCTCTAGACCCTTCCAGAGCTGAGATATCAAAATTCAAAATTTCGACCCGAAAAAAAAACGACAGTGTTACCCCTTTCGTTTTTTTTCGTTTTCGGGCGAAAAATTAAGTTTCTCCAATCTTCTCAAAACTCTGGATTCTGATAGAGGGCCACGAGACTTTGACCTGAGTGCAAAAATGGAGGCTCTAGACCCTTCCAGAGCTGAGATATCAAAATTCAAAATTTCGACCCGAAAAAAAAACGACAGTGTTACCCCTTTCGTTTTTTTTCGTTTTCGGGCGAAAAATTAAGTTTCTCCAATCTTCTCAAAACTCTGGATTATGATAGAGGGCTGTGAGACTTTGACCTGAGTGCAAAAATGGAGGCTCTAGACCCTTCCAGAGCTGAGATATCGAAATTCAAAAATTCGACCCGAAAAAAAAACGACAGTGTTACCCCTTTCGTTTTTTTTCGTTTTCGGGCGAAAAATTAAGTTTCTCCAATCTTCTCAAAACTCTGGATTATGATAGAGGGCTGTGAGACTTTGACCTGAGTGCAAAAATGGAGGCTCTAGACCCTTCCAGAGCTGAGATATCAAAATTCAAAATTTCGACCCAAAAAAAAACGACAGTGTTACCCCTTTCGTTTTTTTTTCGTTTTCGGGCGAAAAATTAAGTTTCTCCAATCTTCTCAAAACTCTGGATTCTGATAGAGGGCCACGAGACTTTGACCTGAGTGCAAAAATGGAGGCTCTAGACCCTTCCAGAGCTGAGATATCAAAATTCAAAATTTCGACCCGAAAAAAAAACGACAGTGTTACCCCTTTCGTTTTTTTCATTTTCGGGCGAAAAATTAAGTTTCTCCAATCTTCTCAAAACTCTGGATTCTGATAGAGGGCCACGAGACTTTGACCTGAGTGCAAAAATGGAGGCTCTAGACCCTTCCAGAGCTGAGATATCGAAATTCAAAAATTCGACCCGAAAAAAAAAACGACAGTGTTACCCCTTTCGTTTTTTTTTCGTTTTTGGGCGAAAAATTACGTTCCTCCAATCTTCTCAAAACTCTGGATTATGATAGAGGGCTGTGAGACTTTGAGCTGAGTGCAAAAATGGAGGCTCTAGACCCTTCTAGAGCTGAGATATCGAAATTCAAAATTTCGACCCGAAAAAAAAAAACGACAGTGTTACCACTTTCGTTTTTTTCGTTTTCGGGCGAAAAATTAAGTTTCTCCAATCTTCTCAAAACTCTGGATTCTGATAGAGGGCCATGGGACTTAGACTTGAGTGCAAAAATGGAGGCTCTAGACCCTTCCAGAGCTGAGATATGGACATCACGTAGCATTTATGCCATTATAAATGTCTCAATATCTCAGCACTGGAAGGGTCTAGAGCCTCCATTTTTGCACTCATGTCAAAGTCTCGTGGCCCTCTATCAGAATCCAGAGTTTTGAGAAGATTGGAGAAACTTATTTTTTCGCACCAAAAAAAAAAAAACGACAGGGGTAACACTCTCGTTTTTTTTTTTTTTTTGGGGGGGGGTCAAAATTTTGAGTTTCTCTGATCTTCTTGAAACTCTGGATTCTGATAGAGGGCCATGGGACTTAGACATGAGTGCAAAAATGGAGGCTCTAGACCCTTCCAGTGCTGAGATATGGACATCCCACGTAGCATTTATGCCATTATAAATATCTCAATATCTCAGCTCTTGAAGGGGCTAGAGCCTCCATTTTTGCACTCAGGTCTAAGTCCCATGGCCCTCTATCAAAATCCAGAGTTTCAAGAAGATTGGAGAAACTCAAAATTTCTCCAATTTCTCTAGAGCCTCAATTCCGGCAGAATTGGTGGTCGGTTGGACGAATAGTGGGTTCGTGGGACGTTTCGAGGGTGGCTCCACAGAGGGGGCCTTTGCGGAACTGCCTCGGGGGTCCCGAAACTTCCTCCCGTCGGCCCCCGCCCTGAAAAGTTCTCAAGAACATCATCATTTCTTTTGTAAGGCTTTGGCATGGTCAGAATTATCATTACTTTTAATTTTCAATTATTTAACCCTTTTTTTAAATAGCAAGGACCTTGCAATCAATTTTTAAGTGTGTGAAATGTTTTAACAACATTAACCGTCATATTACAATTTACTTGTTATGTGTTGCTAATGTTATGCTGTAATTCTATTTCAAACAACCTAATAAATGCATTAAACATCTTACCTTTGGATTTAAGACAAGTTGAGGGTTACACACCAGGACGAATATTGGCGCGCATTATTCGCCAGCATTTTTCCAACACGTTTTTTGTGTTCATACCCAAGCGTTTTTCGCAGACGATGAGCCGAGTGAACATGCAAATTCATTGACTGACTGACATTAGATGGCGCTTAATATAAAACAGAAATAGTCCTATTTTGTAGTCACTGTCACGGTTGTCATATAGTTCTTTATGTTCCCACACCAACGTGAGGTATGTTTGTATCGTCTATATTCAGTGTATATTTTATGTGGTTTGTTGTAAGTGTGTGTCGCAGTGACTGTAGCCCAAAACAAATTTAAAGTATATTTTATCTTTATTTTATCTTCATCTTATCTTATCAACGAGACCAGCAACCAGCAACCCAAGTAGACGCTACTTGGCGTATATCTTCTTCTCCGTCACGCATGTGTGCTCGGCAAGACCGTTTTGTGTTTGAGCGCCCCAAAGTTGTGTTTTACTGAAACGTGAAAATGTGATCTCATTGGTCGGATAGTTTTCGAAGTGGCGTGTCAAAGCAAAAAAACGAACCGAGTCGTTTAAAAAAAAAAAAAATGACGCTTTTACCTGTCGCGTTTTTTGCGTTGGTATGCTGTGCATACTCACATTGGCGCCCTTTGTTTAGTCACGAGGCGTTAAATGTCGGCGAATATTGCATGCGAAATTTGTCCTGGTGTGAACAGGCCTTTACTTGACTAACTTTAGGTTTTATGAAAAACATTTACATTTATTCATTAGGCAAATGGGTTTATCCAAAATATTCTTTGGTTAGAAAATAAGAAAATAGGGTATAGGCCTAATACTTAATTTTACAGTGTCATTGTTTCATATGTTACATGTACTTACCATAGTAAATTGTGCATAATTACTCAACCAAATCCTAATAATCCTACCCCAACACTATAAAGTATATGCTTAATAATACTTAAAATATAATTAAACTGTAACAATGACGCCTTAAAATAAAGTTTAACAGAAATAAAGTTAAGGACAATTGTATTATTCTTTTAATCTGATCCCTGATGTTTTGTATAGGAAACATCTAAAAGTTGAAGACGAACAAATCACTGAATGTGTTCAAATCTCTAAAAGTGCGTCAAGCCTTTGAAAGACAAACCTTTTATTGTATATTTTCTGTGAAATAATCAATACTTATTTTAGATGCACAGAAATTCTGATCACAGTTTCACAGTCACAGACATATCTTGAATAAGTTGGCCTGAATGAGCTCTAATATTGGCCAGAATTTATGTCGAAAGTCAAAACAGTCAAACGTCTGGTTATTGTGAAACTACCTGACCTGAAATGAGAGAAAACCAGAGCACTTGTGTATGTGATGAGTCAAACATCCTTCCACCTCGCTCTTTATTATTACAGGAATCGCCTCCAAACTATAGCTACTGTTTATATCAACAAGTTTCTTGAATAATGCTAATAAGGAACTAAGCCAAGCCTTTTCCACATCTGCATCAGTACTTATACACTCCTGTCTGGCTCGGTATAGTCAAAGACAATAACCTTCTGCAAATATTTGTCAGGTTTATAACAGTGAAGCAAGATTAGTGGTTAATAGTTATTATGGACCGAGAGGAAATATGCCATAAACTTTTTATGGCATGAAGAAATACTCCAGATGATTTCAACCTTCTGACAGTCGTGCTCTGATCTTACAAACAATGTTTTATTTAAGGACACTTCTTACAGGCTCTTAAGAGAACCTGGTTTTCATCAATATGTACAATAATACAGTTACATTTTTATTTACATATATAAATAATGCATTTAAAGGTGAAGTGTAAGCATTTTGTGCCACTAGTGGCGCCAAGCGGAATTGCAAAAATAATAAAAATGCTTTCAAACAACTTAATTTAGATGGTCCACTTTAGACATTCAACTAACTATAAGTAACTTTGCGATTACATGTCAACTAGCAGTCATTCGAGTATCAGCAGTCTAATACTCATATCGACAGTTACTGTAAAAAATATTGATGGATGGTTTAACTTAAAGTAAGTAACCTGTGTGGCCGTACAATTTTAAGGTCATTGAACTGGAAAAAGTGAGTTAATACAATGAAGGAGATTAATTTAACCATCAGAAACTCAAAATTATATGTTATCTGAACTAAATAAATTATTTGAGTTGATTTGACAACAGAAAAAAAGGTTGTGATTACTATAGTTGCAAAGTTACTTATAGTTAGGACAATGTCTAAAGTGGCCTATCAAAAGTGTAACCACAGTTTTCCATCAAAATAAAGACACGCTTCACATTTAAATCAATCGGGAATAACTACGAAGCTTGCTCTCTTCATTTCAACATTCATCGAAGATTATCAGGTGCTTCATAGAAATATTTAGATTTAATTTTAATGAATGACTTAAGTTTTAATTCATTTCTAATTTAAATATAATAAATTTAGTGAGATCATTAAATTTAGTGAATTAATCAGCTCTTAAACATATTTTTTCATCATGGGGTTGTGATGAAATAGGTTCACTTATTTCATCATTCATTTCTGTGGTGTACGTTTTAACACTTCCTGGACACTGAAAACAGTGCACCTTCGATCAAACACGTATCACAAACCATAAGAAAACCACAATGTCATTTCCCAGACAAGCATCTTCCTCAGAAGAGGAAACCCTTTAAAATATTTCTGTGACAGTGCTCTTCTGTTGACCTTCATACGGCTGACGAATGCGGCTCGTTTATCCCAGTGATCAACGTCCTCATATCATACTGCTACTTCTGTTTATATTGAATAAAGTCAACGATGACACGTTTGTTATTAGTATGAGCTCACACTATGGACGAATAAACACTCTATATACATAAAGGAAGTGAATCCTCTGTTTGCCGACACTCAATTCAGTCCCTTTATCATGTCCACCGTGTTTTCCTTTTCCTTCTAATATAACACTCTCCACACGAGTTGTGTTGTTTTCGTATGCTCCATCATTTTACAAGGAAGTAGAGCAATGTTTACCCAGCATGTTTTGTGCACAAAAATAATTCCACTGGCCTTAATAAAACTGTTGGTCAAAGTGCGTTTGTGACCTCCTGTGGTTTCGGGAGGCTGTCTTTCTCTGTTTCATGAGTTTCCTTCTTGGAGCTCCATAGGATTCGTGGGCATTGGCACCAGCTTTTATCCCAAACGCCCCTCACCATTGCACTAAGCGTGTTTCTAACGGCCGTGGAGGTGAAATAAAAAATAAACGGGTCCAAGCAGGCATTAAACGTGCTGAGAAGAAGGGCTTTGTCTCTCCAAGCTGGGTTTTTCTTTGTTATGAAGCCAACAACATGGGAGACGTTGTAGGGTCCAAAACAGAGCGCAAACACCAACAACGTCCCCAAAGCCAATCCGATCGCTCTCAACTTTCTCCGCCGGCCGATGTTCGGCAGCCTTGAGAGGATGCGGATGAAGTTTATGTAGCAGAAGCTGCAAATAAGGAAGGGGACGCAGAAGAGAACGATGCACAACTCCAAACGCACGGGCAGGAGGATCTCCAGCTGAGCTTCGGTGAATCCCTCGTAGCAGACGTTACGGGACGGCTGGACCGTCCCCGATGGGTTGTAGTAGGGCACGATGTAGACGATGCTGAGGTGAAGGATGGAAAACACCCACATGAAGATGCTGGCGAACACGGCGTATATGGGTCTTCTCCTTAGAGAGTGCTGGATCGGGAACGCCACGCCAAGATAGCGCTCCACGCTCACCGCGGTCAAGAAAAAGGTACTGTTGTAGATGGTCATGTAGAAGACAAAGCCAGACAGGGGACACAGAAAGTAGTCAATATTCCATTCCATTTTATTGACCACTTCTTGCATTTTAAAGGGCAAGAAGATGAGGAAGAGCAAGTCTGAGATGGTAAGGTTGAGGAGGAGGATGTCGATGGGAGCCGGTTTCCTCCAAACCTTGCGGCTGAGCGTGTAGAAGGCCAAGACGTTGGCCGGGAAGCCGGAGATGAAGGTGAAGATGTAGACGGTGAGACAAAGATGATAATCACAGATTTGCATGGTTGCTCTGTTCCATACGGTCCACGGGAGAAGGAGGAGGCCTCAGTGGAGAGCTGGATGTTTTCAGTCCTGGAAAATTGAAGTGTAATTAAAAATGTGAAGTCAAAGTTATTTGTCACAATATACATTGTTTCAAAGCAGCAGAAAATCATGTGAACACACCATGAGTCACATTTAACGGATCAGAGCTGGGCGATAATATACTTTACATTTACAGCTGAGATTTGATGTTAAGTATATATCGCCCTACGCGAGAATACTGTATGTATGTTGATATGTTGATACAGTTGGTCATATTTCTAAACAATTTTATATAAAGAGAGAGCTGGGCAAGTTACAATTTCCAATGATGTAATCATTTAAGCAGTTGAGATTTGTTCTATAGCCTAGTATATAAATGCACAACCATTTCTAGGGTTTACAAAGAATGCTGTGAAAAGGGAAAAACGTCCAGTATGCGGCAGTCCTGTGGGCGAAAATGTCTTGTTGATGCGAGAGGTCAGAGGAGAACGGGCTGACTGATTCAAGCTGATAGAAGAGCGACTTTGACTGAAATAACCACTCGTTACAACCGAGGTATGCAGTGAAGACACAACACACACAACTTTGAGGCGGATGGGCTACAATAACACAGTCTCATCCCAAAAAGTCATATAACTGACGTCTTGGGGCGTATTTTGACCATACCTCAATATCCGCCTTTTTAGGGCCCCCTTAAACGTCGGTAGATGGCGATCCCGGGCCGTCATACAACTGACGCTTTACCTTTAACGTCAGTTAGGTGACGGGTTAGGTTTAGGGTTAGGTTTAGGTATGGGGTAGAGTTAGGATCCCATAACCTCATCTACCGACGTTTAAGGGGGCCCTAAAAAGGCGAATATTGACGTATGGTCAAAAGACGTCCCAAAACGTCAGTTATATGACGTCTTGGGATGAGACCGGGTTGGCTACAACAGCAGAAGACCCCACCGGGTACCTCTCATCTCCACTACAAATAGGAAAAAGAGGCGACAATTTGTAAGAGCTCACCAAAACTGGACGAAATGTTGCCTGGTCTGATGAGTCTCGATTTCGGTTGAGACATTCAGATGGTTTGGCGTAAACAGAATGAGAACATGGATCCATCATGCCTTGTTACCACTGTGCAGGCTGGTGGTGGTGGTGTAATGGTGTGGGGAATGTTTTCTTGGCACACTTTATTCCCCTTAGTGCCAATTGGGCATCGTTTAAATGCCCCAGCCTACCTGAGCATTGTTTCTGACCATTTGGCCACCATGTCCCCGTCCTCTGATGGCTAATCCAGCAGGATAATGCACCATGTCACAAAGCTCGAATCATTTCAAATCGGTTTCTTGAACATGTCAATGAGTTGACTGTACCAATATGGCCGCCACAGTCACCAGATCTCAACCCAATAGAGCATCTTTGGGATGTGGTGGAACGGGAGCTGGATGTGCATCCCACAAATCTCCATCAACTGCAAGATGCTATCCTATATGGGCCAACATTGCTAAAGAAAGCTTTCAGCACCTTGTTGAATCAATGCCACGTCAGTTCTGAAGGCGAAAGGGGGTCAAACTTAGTATGGTGTTCCTAATAATCTTTTAGGTGAGTTTATACTGTATATATATATAGCTAATATATTTTGTGACTAAATTAACAATCAAGCAGTTGAGACTTGCTATATATATCACCGAAATTGAGATTTGCTATATATCATGGTACATATAATATATATCCAACTTTATATAAAGATCTGTGGGTCAATGGAGTTTTGTATGACCAATATCCTTCACAGTTTAGCTCCCACACACTTGCCTGCAAGTTTCCAGGAATCCTGAAGACTTTTATAAGTAGGTTAAGGTGTGTTTAATTAGGATCACAAAACAGTAGATCTCAAGATTTGACACCCTGACGTAGATCAAACAGAGCTATAACAATTATAAAACAATAACTAGACTCTATAAAACTATTGGATATGATGAGATATGATGAGGCCCAAAAGGAATCTGCGCTCACAGAAAACTCAGCCCAAAGATCAACAAACCCCCTATTATTCCTTGCATAAATATTTTGCTGAATACAATGATTTAAAAGCACTCTTGGCTTAAATGACATTGCATTCCACAGATTTCCAAGAGATTATCATTACAAATAACGCCACACTGCTACCAGATATAGCAGTTATTACTGGGATACGTCTACGGGAAGTATTAAAACATAGTTAATGAAGAAGTCAAAAGAGTTACGAAAGCATCAAAAACTGACAATGACGCAATAAGGGAACAACTTAAAATGATCCCTGCTTTTAATTTAAGACAAAAACACGAACTCACCGCAGAGCAAAGTAGACCTCAGCTGTGCTTCTCTATTGACTCTCTGCTGCTTTTCAATAGAGACTATGGTCTGTATGCTGACAACTGCCGCACCAGCTGTTTGCTTTCCATTTTCAATATTGTACACTGATAAGGGAAAATTAATAAATGAGGACTGGATCCAACCCGACGTGCTCCTCACGCAGTCTCTGAAGCTCTATGTTTACATGTGAGCACGTCTATGCAGTCTTATCGGGATTTATACTACTCCAGGATGTGTGGGAGATGTGTTTAAAGATGATGGGTGTGCGCTTGCATATGTGAGTGTTACTGGGAATGATGAATCAGTCTGGTCTCTCCTCAGCCTTTCAAAGCTAACCATTGGACTGCGTTTACGATCCCAAAACATCCCCAGAAATCGAATGCGTTTAACAAAAAGATAAGGCTGGCATTAATGCTTCTATCTAAAGTTGGATGCGAGATATTCCTGCCTTAAATGTCTTATTGGTTCCACAAAGAACCTTCAACATCCATGGAACCTTTCTGATTCGCAAAAGAATTTGTTCACTGAAAGGTTCCAAAAGTCAAGAATCCTTGGGTTCTATTTAGAACTAAGATTGTTTCAAATCAGCAAAACAGGTGATGTTAGTTTAGCAGGTGTTCGAATGTCAACAAAGACGTCTCCTAGCAACCAAACTGTGATGGATAAACGATGCTGTTCAATGCAAGCCTTTATTCTACAGGTGTATGATTATCACCAGAGGATCGTTTACAGTGTTTTACACTCCTGGCTCTGCAAACGTTTGCAGTTTGCAATCAGCGTTGACTGATCGGGGTAGTTTTATTGCTTAAAAGTTAACATTTATCATCGACTATAACAATCTCCCACCATGTTTGCATGACATTATACTTTGCCATCATGGTGAAATCAGCCTTTTCTGTATTCAATTGTACTGTTCCAACTAGGAATTTGGAAATCTCAGTGAAATCTCAGGAATACAGCAGAAGTCAAGGTATTTCAGGTCTATCCTCTATTCTGTAGCTAAAATCAAGGAAAATCCCAGCTGTTAGCATGGAAAGTAGGAAATTCAGTCCTTTCACAATCATGTGCAACACTTTACTATACAGCAAAAAATTGGATTGCATAGCAATAAGTGATTCATTTAGAGCTAGATCTAAAAACACCCAGTTTCCTCATTCATGTTAGGAAGGAATGAGCAACACTGAGTCAGCAAACTTGAACATTAAATTAAATATAGCTCATCCCAGCTGGTCAGAGTTCAGCTAGAGAAGAGGTGATAATGTATTATCATTCACTCCTAATGCATTGATTAAATCATCAGAAACACATCATTTGATTAGACACATAAATGTCAGATTAACCAGATTATCATTAATTTATTTAAACACCAAAAGGCCTAAAAATGACTTAAAATGATTACCTTCGTAAAGCCAGGGTCGGTGCGGGACGCTGCCTCCACACATCACATACACACTCTCCACTTTTTGGCCAGTTTCATGGGATTGCACAAGCTTCGGACCTTTTCCCCCTCTCACTAAAGCACCAAGTGGTCTGCATGCCAAAAAAGAGAGAGAGATGGATGAAAATGTTACCATATAATACAAATCAAGTTAATCATGTATTGAAAGAGCAATTGTCGTCATTGGAAAGAGACAAGGAATGTTGTGACGAGGGAGGCCGGCTAAAGCTGATTTATAGCGACGGCCTGCACATGCCTGATATACATCCAGCCAAGTGATAATGTCTTTTGTGACAACCACTTGCTGATAATTTATTTTTATAGCCAGGCTTAAATATTACGTTGATCATTTATCATGATTTAGGGTTACACATATTCATGTCTAACAATGCCATGAATTTTTCTGTCCTTCAAACTGGAATGTTGTAAACACAGCATGCACTGACTTTTTTTTTTTAATAATTCCAGAGTTAATACATCTGTTCATTACTTAATATGCCTGTTTAAACAGAATAGCTCAGTCATGTTGGATGTCTTTTTTTTCTTAAATATATATATTTTAACTTGATGGTTTGGTTAAATGTGCTGCATGCATCAGTGATATAGTGTCTTGAGAAATCCCAGAACTTCACTGAAAGTGATGGAGACGTGTTTAGCCAATCAGAGGACTTTTTTGAGGCGTTTTCTGCCAGTCAGTCATTTTCGGGTTTTCTTATGAGGGTGAGATTTGAATTGTTTAATAATCGGAAAGTCAGCAATATGGCTAACATCAATTACAGCACATTTAATATAGCCACAACTGTAACAAAAAAAAATGTGCTGGCTTAAAATGACAAGTGGGATATTTGATTTGACTAAACTTAAAATTTAAGGCAGGCATTTTTAACATGCATTATAATTTTCTTTGGTAATTTTAACAGTAAAAAACTGTAAAGAAAAACTGTTAATTGCTTAACAGTACAGTATGTACCCTTACTATATACAGTGAAAAACTGTAATAGCACTCAAGGGGCATTTCATGTAATTTTACAGTAAAATACTGTTAAATCTATGGATTTTGGAAGTATCACTGTAAAAAAAAAACTAACCGTCTTTTAATCCAATTTTTATGTTTACATCATAAAACTGGCAGCTTGCAAGAGATTTACCAGAAAAAAATATGGTAGTAATAATTTAGGTTTTACAGCAGTGATCTAAAGATTACGGTAAAAAAAAAAAAGGCAGCTGTGGTTGCCAGTACTTTACCATAAAAAATAGGGTAGTAATATTTTAGGTTTTATGGCATTGAACATTGAAAATAAAACTGCCAGCTGTGGTTGCCTGTAATTTAAAAATATTGTATTACCAACCAATTTGATATAAAAATATAGTCAACTGGAAAAAAATATATTTGAATTGACTAAACTTTAAAATTAAGGAACACTTTTTTTTTTATCTGAAACAACAATAATATACAGTACAGTACACAGAAAGTGAATTATATGTGTAAAAAGCAAGTTTGTTTGCATATTTTTATTTAGTATAAATGACACAAAGGCACAGCTATAAGCTTAAGTTATCTGTTCTTGCACAAAATAAAGAACCAAATAATTACATATCTTTTTCAAATTAACACTAATATAGGCATCAAAAATATATATATATATATATATATATTTAAAAAAGAACACATATTTATATCTTTAGGCTACATGCAACAAAATGCAAAAAAAGTATTCGTAAAACCTGATTGTTTGAACTGTCAAAGTTTTTATCCTAACCAGCCATGATATAACATTGATAATGTCAAATACAATGCTTTATTTAATGTTAAAACTGTCTAATCAGTCCCTCCAGAAAAACGCGATTATGCGATCGCTGAATTCAATGCAAAATCAGCCAAAGTCCGCATATTTATGCGGGGCCGCATTTTTTCAAATACGCCGCACTTTCGACGCATAAATTGCCGATTTCCGTGCAAAATATGTGGGGTTTGCATAATTTCATAATCCTCGCATTTTCGTTGCAAAAAAAGTCACATGTATCTTAGCAGAAAGTTGTAAAATGTTGCGTTTGCTTCACACAAGAGCAGCCATTTCCCCCTGTTTCCATGGGAACGTTATGAAGTGACGCAATTACGCGACGCCAGACAGACTCACGGAGGCGATTGACATCTCACAAATCGAACTCGTATAACGGTCTGTCACACGTTCTACCGTCACATCATTCCTTAACAAACAACATAATATAAAATAAGTAGCGTCAAACAGAAATTACCCGCACACATGGGGTGTTTGTGGCGCACATTTAACACTGCAGAGAGTTCAACAGGGAGCGCGCAGCTCTTAAAGGGGCCACACCTTATTTACACTCGTTAAAGTCTGAAATAAAACAAGAGATAAGAAAAATATTCCCAGCACTTTCTATGATGTAGTATGCTTGCTTATCAAAGGAAGTAATAAGAAATGACTCTTACATTAGCCTAGTGAGAACAGGGTGTTGGGGGAATCACTTTTTTTCTCTTTTTTTTTATCAAACCGCAATTTTGCAAGTTCCCTCAATTTTTGCAAATTCCTGCAATTTCATCCCATAAAATTGCATAAATATCCCGCATATTCTTTCCATCGCATTTTTAAAGAAAACGGGTCACGTAATCAAGGATTTTTGCCCGCAACAATCACAAAAAAACTCCGCGTTTTTCTGGAAGGACTGAATACTATTATGGTAAATGTTATATATAAATCGCAAATTTTTTCACAAATTTTTGGAAATTACCACCACAAAATCAGTCATTTTGATCGCAAAAATCACAAAAAAAAATCGTGAAATCCTGGAGGGACTGTCTAATGTGGGTTTGAACATTATTTTACGTGAAAGCAAAAATGTATAATTTACCTCAGATCTTGACAATAAATGGAAGCAAACAAGTACATTCAAACTGTGAACTGTAAACAAACAAATGTATTCAATGACAAAATTGTAGCTTTAATTTATTAATTTAAATCTTATCGCATATATAGTTAGGACATGGTGTGGATCAATATCGAACAGTGCATTAAAAAAAAAATGCTTCACTAGGAAGGCTGCCAAGGTCAACCAGCTTTACTAGAAAGTCCAATTTGAGGGTACGTTGAACACAAAAAGATGCAAAAGTAATATTATAACAATCCATTCAAAAAAATCCATTCATTTTCTCCATAGGGGAATTGATTTTAAACAACCTTTAAAGACAGACCTGCTGTGAGAGACAAGGTTGTTAATTAATGGCATATGCTTTTGTTGAAACCATCCGTTCACATTATTTCAGCATATTTTTTAAATAATTGTGTTTAACAGCTTCATTGGTGGTGAAAAACTACATTACCCATCATGCTTTACAGAAAAATACACCAAGCAAAATGGCAGGAAGCGAATGGTGCCCAAAGAGCTTGCAGTACATACATGCATGTTTTGCATTACAATTATTTTATTTTTTTTATAGATACATTTTTCACTTTAAGATAATAGCTTTGTATTTTTCCATTGCCTTAAATTCAACTGCCATTTGCAATGTTTCAAAGTTTATTTTTGGCCAATATTTAAATCTTTCTTTGCTTTAAATCAAAGTTTGTAATGATGTGATTAAACTTGTACAGCTTGATTCATGACTAGTGCTTTAACAAAAACTGTTAATTAAAATTAAACAATTAAAATTCTATGGAAAAAATGGGCAGGTAGCAATGCACTCTATAGTGATAGTGTCCATTATACAGGTCCATTAAGCTGATGCCATCCAGTGGCACAGAATTACAGTCAATTGCTTTGGACTGATCAGCATGTGCTGACATCCCTTGACTGCAATCAGAAGAAAATAAAGAAAAATACTAGCCCATATTGTGCTCTTCTTCAGTAGATACCTCAAAGATTGAGTCTCATATTCATTGCATTCATGCAATCTAGCTTATGTTTTACAGGGAGCTGTCGGTGCTCTGAGTTTTCTCCTCAGTACTCGAACAGTTCAAGATAGAGCAGCATAGGATCGGGCGGCAACAGGGCATGAGCAGCCGCCTCGACAACTCCTGCAAGACGTTCCTAAATGTTCCTCTGAGAGCTGAAGACGAGAAGTAGAATATGAAAGGATCGAGGCACGCATTAAACGTGCTGGTGAGCAGAGCTTGCACCCGCCAGCCGGGGCTGTAGTTGCCAACGTATCCAACTAAATGTGAGATGTTGTAGGGCATGAAACAGATAATGAAGACCACAAGCGTTCCCAACGCCATCCCAATGGCTCTATAACGCCTCTTGGCGTTGATGTTGGGCAGATTGGAGAGGATGTGGATGAATCGTATGTAGCAGAAGCAGCAGATGAGGAACGGCGCGCAGAAGAGCACTGCAAAAAGCTCCAGGCGAACCGGCAGGAGGATCTTGAGCTGTTCATCGCTGAATTCTTCATAGCACGTGTTACGCTTGGATGGATCCGTGAAGTTGGGGTTCGAATGGTCATGATATTGCATGATGTAGACGATGCTGCAGTGCGCCATGGAAATCACCCAGAAAAAGACGCTGGCTACCATGGCATTTCGAGGGTTGCGTTTCAGCTTGTATTTAATGGGGAAGGCTACACCGAGGTACCGCTCCACGCTGATGGCCGTCAGGTGTAAGGTGCTGTTGTAGATGGTGGAGTAGAAGATGAATCCCGACAGCGGGCAGAGGAAGTACGGCATCGTCCATTTCATGTTGGCCGCCTCCACCATGCGAAACGGCAGGAAAAAGAGGAAGATCAGGTCAGAGATGGTTAAACTGAGTAACAGCACGTCCATCGGGGTGGAGCGCTGCCGCACCTTCTGGGTGAAGGTGTATAAAGCCAAGATGTTGGCGGGAAGGCCGGTGATCAACGTGAATCCATAGACCCCTAACACCAGGTTACTGAGACCCACCGTCCACACCATCGTCAACGTAGATGCCAAGTATGCAAAGCTGTATGAGAAAAAGAAAGATTTAATTAAACATAAGCATTTTAACCTAATGTCAAAATCGCACTACAAAAAAGAATGTCAACCTTTTTTACCTGCAAAATTGCAAGATTAAGACTCCCGCGCAATTTAGCGTGCTCGTGAGAAACATGAGAAACTTTTGCATGCTCACAAGAAACTATTGCATGTTCACGATATACTTTTGCATGCTCGCGAGAAACTTTTGCATGCTCACAAGAAACTATTGCATGTTCACAATAAACTTTTGCATGCTCCCAAGAAACTTTTGCATGTTCACGATAAATTTTTGCATGCTCACAAGAAACTATTGCATGTTAACGATATACTTTTGCATGCTCCTGTGAAACTTTTGCATACTCCCGAGAAACTATTGCATGTTCACGATATACTTTTGCATGCTCCTGTGAAACTTTTGCATACTCCCGAGAAACTGCATGTTCACGATATACTTTTGCATGCTTGCAAAAAACTTTTGCATACTCCTGAGTAGGGTTGGGTATCGTTTGAATTTGAACGATTCTGATTCCGATTCCTTGTTTCGATTCCGGTTCCTAACGATTCTCAATTCCGATTCTTTTAAGAGGCAGGGTCAAAAAAGTTTAGCTAACCTTGCTAACCAACGGTCTTTCTGAAGGAAATACTCCTTCTGTAAAAATACTCCTTTTGTCACAAATTTTGCATTTTGCCGAGATTTCGTTATTTTTAGAAAAGTGAAGCCACACTTTGGATCGCCGACGTAAGCTACTCATGTTCGACTCGCGCGGTTATGAACACTTCCGGTAGACGCTTCTTCGTTGGTGTTCAGCGGTTTCTTCTTCCGCTCGGCGGACTGTGAATATCGAAACTAGGAATCGAAATTTTAACTTCTGAACGATTCCGGGAAAAACGAAAAGTTAGTCCCGGTTCCAATCGATACTCGATTCTCGATACCCAACCCTACTCCTGAGAAACTTTTGCATGTTCACGATATACTTTTGCATGCTCCTGTGAAACTTTTGCATACTCCCGAGAAACTGCATGTTCACGATATACTTTTGCATGCTTGCAAAAAACTTTTGCATACTTCTGAGAAACTTTTGCATGTTCACGATATACTTTTGCATGCTCCTGAGAAACTATTGCATGTTCACGATATACTTTTGCATGCTCCTGAGAAACTTTTGCATGTTCACGATATACTTTTGCATGCTCCCGAGAAACTTTTGCATGCTCGCAAGAAACTTTTGTTAAACGTTTGCATGTTCACGCCTTCTCACACAAGTTAATGCACAGTGTTGATACAAGTGATAAGTCTTTAATTATAGTAAAATATTGTTTTTGTAGAAGCAAGCTTTGTTTATCTAACTTTCCTGTACAGACACTGTAAATTTGACAGCTAATAAAAACATTAGTGTAGTTAAAGATAAGGTCATTTATTAATGCCAATAAAAATATATTACAAAACATATGAGTCTGATTAAAGCAACTGTGTGTGACACATTCAGTGTGCAGTACAGGGGCAGGGGCAGCACAGGAAATTCATCATGAAACCTGAGATATTATATAGAGTTGAAATAAAAAAAAAATCCTGCAACAAGACATGAATAATAAGGTTCTTGTGATCTTGCCCATCAATAAATTAGCATATACAGTAAATGTGTGGTGAATGTCTTTCTATCAAAATAACAGAGATATTAAACAGCCATACATTAAATATAAATACTTTAACATTAGGGCTGGATGATATATTGAAATAAAATTGGAGGGCAAACTGTAAAACTACTAAAAACTACTATAAAATTCAATTATTTATTTATAAATACTCTTTTTTTAACAATTCATTAATATTATTACAATCGGTAACGCGAGTTATGTCCTCAGATGACTTTTTTCATGTAACTGGTGTAACATTTCTTTGAAATTTACAATAAAGTTACCTTTTCAAATAAGTAACAAAAGTTTGTTTTTTGTTTAAAAATTTTGAAAGTCATAATTACGATGTTGGTCAGGAAAAAATTGACACTGGCAATATCATATTAGACAAGCAGACAAACAGGCTTTTAACATTTATGCATCAGCGTATCAGGTGTTTAACTGATGATTTATCTATGCATTTTATCTTTCCCATGATTCATATGATCCCCAAACTTAATAAAGTTTGTGTTAGCCTTGGGAAATTATTTATGTTGATTAATTTCAGAATTATCCTGGTACCATTTTAAAGGTGGTTAATGACAAACTACAATCTCAAACTACACAAAACGGAAGAAACATTAATGTCATACCTTAATTCAGTCCAATACCAGAGACTCAGTGACAATGTCCCCTTCTCACTCACACAATTCTTCTTATAATGAGGTCATTATGACTGACACACACACACACACACACACACACACACTTATAAGGACACAACAGGAAAGAAGCAATACTTCCTGGTTTACTCCAAGCACATTATACACTGAATAAGCAATGTTTGCTTTTTCAAATATCAGAGATATAGTATAATAATGAATATATTGTACTATAAAAATGAGTATGGATAGACTTTATGCATCATGGAAACAAGCATGCAGGCATCTTTAGAATATTATCTCTGAACATTTTTGTGGTAGATCTGTACAGTTTGTTGGCATCGCAGTCGATGAGTAATTAGCTGGTGAAGTGGATTTATTTATATGTAGATTTAATAAAAGTGCATCATGAGCATTGCAATGTCTGAAGCCGATCTCATTTCAAAATGCCAGTAGACCAGGAAGATTTTATAACAAGTGCTTCATTAAATCCGTAAGATCTCACCTTCATGCTATGGAAATACAAACCGGAAAACAAGGGCAGCGCTTAAAAGTGCGGGGCTACATAAGGTATTTATGAGTGTGTGTAATGTAATTTACTGTTTTCTGTTGTTAATTGGGTTGCTAGGCTGTTGCTAAAGTGTTTTGGGTGGTTGGTATACGCAAAAGAGTGAAGAGTGTCCAAAGTTTAATGCTAGAGACAGTATATTATGAATGCCTATGGTATAGAGTTGTATTATTTTAGGCTATTTTTAGGTTTAATTTATCTGCCAAACTAATAAATAACCATAAAAGCTGTCTGAAGTGCAGTTTCCTAACATAGTGAAAAACACTCTTTACACATTTCCTCTTTTGCAAAACTCAAGGGTTTTACAATAGAGGACAACACGGGACTGTGCAATACCGTACAATGAAATATTCAACATTTTCAATATATATGACTTTAACTTTCACTTTTAACAACTGAAACTATTTGTCAAACCAGTATTTTTCCCAGACCTCCTAAAGATTATGCCGGTGTTTTGAATATATTGTGCTTGACCTAAAGTTGAAGCGATTCACATTCAAGCTCATGTCAAAGAAATAGTTTGACAGGTCATTATTTACTCACCCTAATGTCGTTCCAAACCCGTACACCGCTTCTGTGTAAAACAAACGCAATGAGGACAAACAAAACACCATAAACGAACCATAAAAGTGCTTCACGTGACTCCTGCCCTAATTTCCAAGTCTCCTTGGTATATCTCATATGATTTAGCTTTATGTGAGGAACAGTTAATATTAACTTCAAATCATTCCTGCCATCCAATCTCATTCCTGCATGCACATATTCACAAGATGTTTCCTTGCACTTGTGTTGTTTTAAATAAAACTGAAATAAATATAAACTAAAGCTAAAACGATTAAAAAAAAACTTCACATGGGTGTGCATGTAGAACTATTCTGTGTGTGATTTCTTTATTTTAGCGTGAGAAGGGATTTCCCCTGAAGTAGAGTGACATCATCAGGATTTCTGTTATTTAAACTGTGACGGCGTTGATGGCGGACTCTCTCTCTTTTTTGTTTAACTGGGTGTCTCTCGCCTCGTGGCAAGGCCGCTCACCACCTGGTTTTGGTTTCTTTAGCTGCACTACCTGAATACTGTTAATATTTTTGCTATTTTTTATATTGTTAATTTTTTATATTATATATATTATTATCTAAAGTGTAATTGTTGTCCGTTTGACTTTCCTATTAAAACATCATGGCGTGATTGGCCGTCAGAAAAGCAATCGATCTGTGATTTTTGATATGTTCGGGCCTTACCTTTTGTCTGTTTTGAACGAATAACGTATTTGGGGGCTCGTCCGGGAAGGTTTAGGTGGTTTAGGTGTGGGGTGCGTGTGTATTATACGTTTGGGTAGACTTAGTAATGTGGGGTGCGTGTATATTATACGCAAATAAACTGTGTATCAAATGCACACGAAAAACTGCGTCTTATGTGCACATAAAAACTCATTTTCGCGTATAAATTACACGATGCGTGTTAAAAAGACGCATTTAGGCGAGAACAGGCTGCCTGGCCACAGGTGGAAGGACTGGATTTGTTGGCTTCTGAAGCTGATATGGGTGAAGACTAGGGGTATGTGCCGTTCATAATAGATGGATTTGTATCTTTGGTAGGAAATGCTAGCTTACACAAACCAGTCAAGATGATTCGTGATACAGGCGCTGCAGAGTTTTATTCTGGAAGGACTATTGCCCTTGTCTAATGAGAGCTCGTTCAAACGTTTTGGTACAGGGATTTGAAATGGGCTTTGTGAACGTGCCTTAGCACGAAATTGAAATCGAGTCTTCCCTTGTTGTTGGAGTGTGACCGTGTCTTCCCATTCGAGATGTCACATTTATTTTAGGGAATGACTTAGCGGGAGGAAAAGTTTCTGCCAGCCGTGAGGTAACTGATGTTCCTCTTCCCTGTTCTACTCCTGATGCATTGGCTCAGAAATACCCTGAGGTATTTCCTTCATGTGCTGTTACTCGCGCTATGACCCAGAGACTGAAAGATAAAAGCCTTAGTAAGTCAGAAAGAGAGTGGAATTTTGTCCAAACTCTTTTGGCGGTTCAGACATCGACGTTATTAAACGAGATGAAGATTCTATGGGGTTTGGTAAATTGTCTCTGTCCCGCGAGCAGATTTTCACGCAAATGTTATAAACATCAGCGAGGTTACTCAACTATTGAGAAGGAGGCGCTCGCCCTTGTCCTTGCCATGGAACATTTTGATGTTTATGTTGGTTCTGTTTTCGCACCCGTTGCTAGTTTACACGGATCACAATCCCTTACCCAGATAGCAAACTGACATTTATTTGATTGATTTATTTGACAGGGACAGTGTACAGGGGTTGGACACTGGTCACTGTTGGGGGTTTCACATCTATATGCATGGCGGCCAATCTTCAGAGTGAAGCACGGGTGGATCAGTGATGGTTTGAGCTCCAATATCATGACAATCCTGATTGTATTTGATGGACACGACACTGCCGAGGACTACCAAACCTTTCTGGAGGATCATGAGCACCTGATGCTCAAACCGTGTATCAGCATGATCATACACCAACACACACAGCAAGACTTGTGACAGAAGGGTTTGATGAAGATGAAAGTGACGTTGAACATCTCCCATGGTCTGCACAGTCACCAGATCTGAATATTACTGAGGTGTTTTGGAGGAGAGAGTCCACCAGCATCATATAGTGACCTGGACACTGTTCTGGAAGAGGAACGGCTCATAATCCCTCTGGTCACTATGAAGGACTTCTATCTGTCAATTGGTGCTGTATTTGGATGCAAAATGAGGCCCTCACCATTCTAACAAATTATTGTGCTGTAAAACCAGGTGTTTCAGTTTCTTTGTCCAACCCTTGTACATTAATTAGCATTACTGCAAATGTACTAGAATTAGCCAAAAGCCTATTTTTCATCCATTGTCCCTGGACAGATACCAGACAGCAAATTTGACATTGAATCAACGTGGAAACGACGCCTCTCATGACATCGAAACAACGTTGATCTGGCATTGTTTTGCTCATCGAATTAACATTGAACCAACGTCAGACGCGGCATTCTTCAAAGCTGAAAATGAAAATGGACGCAATTGGTTTGCTTTCCTAACGTTGAAACAACGTTGATTTCAAGTTGATTTTCCGTTAGTTTTGATGCGTCTGACGTTGGTTCAACGTTAATTCGATGAGCGAAACAATGTCAGATCAACGTTGTTTCGATGTCATGTTTCCACGTTGATTCAATGTCAGTTTGCTATCGGGGATGTTAATATTGTCTACCTTAAAAAGAAACAGCAGTTAAAACTTTACAAGGAAAATGCAAAATATAAAAACGATAAAACAATATAAATCGCTAAATACAGTGTACAAATTCATTATATTATCAACATTTTGGCAAAATATAAATGTTGAATCAACGTGGAAACATGACATCGAAACAACGTTGATCTGGCATTGGTTTGCTCGTCGAAATAACGTTGAAAAATCGTTGAAAAAAAACGTTGGAAAATCAACTTGAAATCAACATCGTTTCAACATTAGGAAAGCAAACCAATTGCGACGATTTTCAGTTAGTTTTGAAGAATGGCGTGTCTGACATTGGTCAGTTTGCTATCTGGGTAGTTTTCATTAATCGGATGAAAAATAACAAAAAAACGTATATATGTTTTTACAAACTTTTGAATTGGACACTCGTCACATTTGGGGTAAGCAGGGCCAGAATAATAATTTCCTGTGCCTTGAGTAACAAGTCTCAAGGGCCTTCCTTTGACTTAAACCTATGCACAACATCTGACATTAACACACACCAATTAATTCTTATTATCTTCTGTCTTCAGGTGATCTTAACACACTGGCCTTCTTGACTTAATGTAAACCCATGCATAAGCACACACATTGTTTAGATTTTTTTTTTTTTCAATTAATTTAGATGGTCCACTTTGACATTGTATAAGTTGAAGAAGTTGACATGCAGTTGCTGCAAAGTTACTTCTAGTCTGTCTACTGGGAAGCATCAAAATATTATACAGATAGTCTACTAATAATCTGACTGATATTTGGCATGGAGCTGCAAAGAATGATTAAAGTAGACCATCTAAATAAAGTGTTTGGAGCTTAATAGCCATACTCACTGTATGATTTATTGCATGAGAAAGAGCATGTCTTCAAAATGTATTTTGTGTCCTACAGTAGAAATTCAAATCACACAGGTTTGATATCATAATTTTCATCGCCAATCCTGCAAACTCCCACAGAACTTCTCTGAAGGGAAATATTGAGAAAGACATCCAGAAGCACTTCATGCCACGCCACGCAGACTAGAAAAAGCCATGAGAGCCTCTTCAGAAACGAAGGTGAAGGTGAGAGGAAGTTAAATGTGACAGGCTCATCATGTCACAATGAATATCTGCCTGCTGTTTAATCAGAGATGGTGGCAATCAGCACCGCCTACTCTGACATTTCAGCAGATCTGCTCTGTCCCATGTGCTGAAAGATGAATCTATGTGATAATTAGACTGTCCTGTTCTGCATCTCGCCC